CGGTATATCTATGTATGAGTATAGGTTATAATTAGAAGAGAAAACAACAACGAGTGGAAAAGAAGGAGAGAAATAAATTAAGAAGAATAATTGAGCTTATTCTTGTCTCTCAGTTATCAGAAAAGTAACAGCGTTAGTTACAAATGATTTCGAGAATGTGAGGAAAAACATCTTTCTTTCTTTTTTTTTCAACTGTGCATTATAAACACGCTAGTTTGACATCGTCAGGTAAGTACAAGGAAATTCGCTGCTGATATCATTGAAAAGTCTGGGAGGAAATTTCTTTGTGTTCTAGAATTTCAGTGAAAGCAGGGACGATTTGTGTGGAAGAAATCATCGAAGCGATTAAGCACGCCGAGTAACTGAATTGTTTCATCTTTTCTCTTGTATTTATCGAATGAAAATCTATTTAGATTTGGTTATTTTTATTTGAAAAAACCACACTGAATATGATTAATTCGTCATCAATCACACATTATTATATCTTGGTAAGTTCCCTTTCTCTCTCTCTCTCTCGGTTACATTTCTTCCTAAGCTCGTAAGAATGCTGATTGGAACTAATAGATTTCGGAAATGAAACGACTTGCACCGTGAAATAAACATTTCTGCTCATATCTATTGCCTCAGGTTAGGAAGTAAAAAACATTATGCTACATCAGACTTGAAGTTTTGTAAAGTGATTGGAGAATCTACTTTTGACATGAAGCGTACCTGTCAATGTTGAAGATGAAATTCATTTAGTAACAAGTGTTTCTTTCAGAATTTGTCACTTGTTACATTCGAGCTGTGAAGTTTTCTTTTGCTTTTGAAGGTAAGTTGAACTTTTGATGAGTCTCAGGAGATTTTCCTTCTGTATTACGAGTTTTTCTGAACTAATTAGTTGTCATCTGTTATTGATTATTCATGATATGAAATCAAAGAGTTAGAGAGTGTACGAGAAGAGAAGCGATTGGAAGAGAACTTCTTTTGTTATATATCAATGGAATAGAAAAAGAAAGAATTCGACAAAATTTGTTTGACGTTGTATTAATAATAATCATAATAGGATGAAAATATCTAACGTACAATGCACAAGAAAGTCCCGGCTATCAAGAGAGCGAGCGAAAAGGCGATGAAGGAGAAAAAAAGAGCGGCAAGAAAACGAGACATTCGCCGTCTCTGTTATTATGAATCGTCAGAATGAAGAGGAAAACTGGGAGGAGAAGAAATATTCTAGACGCCGCCTTCAGTCAATGGTCGATCGACTATACACGATAAACTTGTCTTGTTTTTTATTGTAATTCCGTTCAAATGGCAAAGCAAAAGATTTCTTTCTTTGCTTCTTGCAAGCGCGTTTAAGGAGAGAAACTTAGTCGAATACATTTTCAAGTATTACTTCTGTCAAATCGGACGTTTCTTCTGCTTTATTTTCATAATATCCAGGCAACATCAGCCTCGTCGACAACTGCCATTTGGATAGTTAACGAACAAGATTCTACGACAACAGATCTTGATGTTTATCAAGCGTCAGTTCGAACAATGTGGTATCGTTTTCTCTTAATTATTAGTAAGTAGATCTTGTTGATACGAGCTTTGTTTTTATTCCAATAAATATAAACGTTCGAAACGAACAAAAAAGGAAATTGTTGGCCGGAAAGATGACTGTTTACATGTTCGCTTAATTCTATCAACTAACTAGAGAGAGAGAGAGAGACAGACATAGACGCGATTTAAACTCAAGGATGTTCAAGCGAAGCACGATGTTCGAATCGAATTCCACAAAGAATTTCTGTTACGATCAAAAGCGAACTAATTTGTTTCACGTTTTCTTCTACAATTTTAGTCATTTTCGTTACGGCCGCCGGCAACGTTCTCGTTTGTTTGGCGATAGCACGAGAGCGAAAATTACAAAACACAACCAATTATTTTCTTATGTCATTAGCAATCGCTGATTGTCTAGTTGCTATACTCGTCATGCCGATGGGAATGATTTCTGAAATTATCGGTAAGTTTTTCTGCAACTATCGCGATCAAATCTTACTAATGAATACTTTTCATTAGGCTACTTTCCGTTGTCACATTATGCGTGTATTATTTTTGCTACATTGGACGTTCTATGCTGTACATCGTCAATATGGCATATGAGTACGATGTCTATGGACCGATATTTTACAATTCGTTTTCCATTTCGTTATGGAAGAAACAAAACACGTCGTATCATGCTACTGAAGATTGTTGCTGTTTGGGCAATAAGCGCCGCTGTATCATCTCCAGTGTTCGTCTTAGGTATTGTGGATAAGCAGAACGTCCTATCCAACGGTATTTGCGCACCGAACAATGCCTCATTCAAATTGTACGGTTCTGTATTTGCGTTCTATATTCCATTCATTATTATGATAACGACATATGCGTTGACGATGCGTTCATTGCGAAATGTTTTAGTTCATAAACGAAAATATAACCGTGAACGACGGTTAAAGCAAACTTTTCGACCATTGGCACAGATAATCAATCAATATGCGGAAATAGCTCATAACATTCGACGAACATCCTCATCAACAAACAATCCGACAACTTCATTACTATCAAACACAAACACGACAAGTAATAATATCAATCCTAATTCTATCCTATCGCGAACTTCCTATGCAATTATTACTACAACGACAACATCACCAACAACAGACAACCGAACGCAGTTTTTCCCTTCGCATAGCTCCGATATGAATGTGAAACAGGATTCAAATAATATTCAATATGGTTCTATTAAACTAACAAGTGGCACAAACATATCAAATGAATTACTCCATAGTAATCAACATTTAACTATTAGTTATACTAAATCGAGTGGAAGTAAGAAACGTCGTGCCCAACAACAGCAACAGCTACAGCAACAACAACAAAACCTAAGTACATCAAGCAGCCGTTCAAAAACCGACTGCGATATGAGTACTGTTTACGAGATAACGGAATGTTCAAAATCAACATCCGATCCTCATGATTTAACGTCAATTACTGGAACCAGTGCAATTCGAAGATCAATTGTTACTATTGAAGAACAACATCAACCGTTGACTATGTCAGAACAAGAACAACAAACTTCTTCGACGATAACAACATCAACTATCAACGCAATATCATCACTTAAAGAAGAGGAAGATGTTTGTTCGACGACAGATGTAGATAGTCGAAGTAGGTCTTGTTTCTCTCGATTGATTATCAAAGAAGAAAACCCGTCAAACTTCATTAATTCTTCCTCATTCATCGAGTTTTGTTTTGCTTTGAAAGCAAATAATAGAATATTTATTATCTAAGATACATGTTTCTATCCGACCGAGATAAATCATCTTTACATTCTTTTGACATTATCGATCGGAAAGAATTCAAAGGAACGAAGATTTTGGTATAGACCACTGATACGATTATTGAATTAATATTCGATTATTCATTTAACAATATGATAATCGACAAATCTTTGTCTTGCTAAACAAAAACAAAGATCCGATTAGATTATATTATACGATTGATTATCCACGTTTTCTATCTATTTTAGTTGAAGGATATGAACCAACATACATGCAAATCGTTCCATCATCATCATCATCTCATTCGAATCTACCTGAATCGATTTCTCTTTCATTACCATGGGAATCCTATCTTCCATTCATGCAAGCGATTCTTCACTACTATGTGCTCGTTTTTCCCTATCGACTTCGCTCATTGCCCATCGAACCGCCCGAAAGGACGAATGAAGAAAAGCCTGCAACAGTAAAGTTACATCAATCGACATCGACAACTTCGTTGAGTCAACGCTTGACAAAAACTTCTCGAACAATCTCGACGCAAACCATTTCAATTCCATCATTGGATTTAACAAATATTTGTCCGGCAGACACCGATGAAACTTATACACTTAATTCAGTCAAACGGCGTCGATTTCCTTTCAATCATCCACTTTTATCTTCTGCATCTCTATTCACGAATTTTTTTCGTCAATCATCACGAAACGTACTTTCACATTCACGTCAGAATTCCGATAAATCATCTGCTTCACTTTGGCAGCGTTCCTCGCCTGCATCATCTACATATCCATTTCGACATCAACGTTCACCCCCGTACCATTCATCAACTGTTTTCCGTCAAATCGAATCGGAAATGGACAACATTCTCTCCATCGAACATCGTCCACGTGCATCATCATCGTCGGCTAGTCTTCTCCATACGACCCAAGGGCAAGGCAACCAAATACCCTCACATTGGCATCGACCGCTGAAGCACCGGCATCATCATCAATCTCATTCATCGTACTTATTAACCAATCCACACCCGTACAATCCTCGTAACCACCAAACATTAACTTCGACAACAAATACGAACTCATCTGATTCATCGTCTGTTTTTCATCGATTTAATCCTCGAGTATTAAGTTCCGTTTCTCATTCTCATCATGCATCGTTTCAACGCCTAAATGACGAACATATTGTCGCTGCTAACGAACGCAAAGCTCTTCGAGTTCTCATGATCATCTTTTGTGTCTTTGTTACTCTATGGACACCGTTTTTTATATGTACATTTATATCAGCTGTATGTGAACAATGTCGTGAACGCATCTCATCGACAATCTGGTTTTCAATAACATGGCTTGGTTATAGTTCCTCAATGGCTAATCCTTTTATTTATACGATATTTAGTGATGTTTTTCGACGTGCATTTACAAATATTATTTTCTGTCGGTCAAATGAGTCAGTATTTTCACAACAGTTTTCAACAAAATCGTCTCGACAGAAAGGTGCTGCTACCACTGCTCATCAGACGAATAATCATCAACTTTCTTTTCGGCGGAGTCCAAACCCTGATTATTCGAATCCATCGACACCAATACAATTGAACTCTCTTCCGATCCCGCTGGGCGAAGCTGATGGCACGATTTATATCAATCGATGCGCGTCAGATTTATTACGTTAATTGAATAAAGCATCACGATTTGTAGCACGTTTCTTTTCTTTTGCTCGATGTTCAACTTACCCAAGTTCTTGAAGTGTTTCGATCAGTTGTTGTTTTTGTTCAGGTAACATTCGTGCGAAAACAGTACCACGAACGCACAACTAAAGCGAATATAAATGTTGAAAAATGCACAAACGAAAGATAAACTTACCCGACGTAATAACTCAGGATGTTTCTCACGTACAACTTGGAAAGATTTGCCAGATATAGCAAAATGATACGGCGTTCGACGATCAAGTTCAATCAAACGATGCGACTAGAAAATATTAGATTTGACATTCAGCTTTTTTCAATTTTCATAATCAAAAGTATTTATTGTTATTTTTTTTTGTTACTTCGCCATTGACATATGAAAACATGATCAAATAACTGTAATCCGGTCTGTCAATATTCCGATTAGTTTTCTTCACGGGAAGAACGACATCAGAAATAGATATGATTATTTAAGAGGGTAACAGACTCTTTCATTAGAAATATTTATCTAGTAATTAGTTATAGAGTGACTTTAAAGAAAGATAATGACACATCTACATCGAATGTTTCTCTCTTGAAAGGGATTCTTGTGTTTACAATCTATACGTACACTTTGATCATAGCGAACTTCTTTCACTCTTCGATTATAAACTTGAGCATAAGTGAAAGTCGGTGTATCGTCAGATTCAGTTGCTTCAATAGCGATAATTTTGGCATCATCCGGGATCATATCACAATCACGAGCGACACTTAACGCTGTCAACATGTTATCACCTAGACATGATCATTTCGAAGTTAAGTAATTGAACGAGACAAGTCCTACGTACCAGTGCACATAATTGTTCGAATATTTGCATTTGAAAGAACTTTTAATACTCCTAGAAGAAATACAAGCTATTTTGCTGAGAGAAATAACAATAGATTTACCTTCCGTTTGGGGCTTTAGTCGATTCTCCATAATGACAAGACCGAGAAAGATTAGATTATGTTCAATTTTCTCTCTAATAATCGTTACAATTGACTAGATATACAAGTGTGCACAAAACACAAACAACTAACCGTTCGATTCGTTGAATTTTCACGTAGTTCAATTCTAATGGTTTATAAGCCATTGCTAATACTCGATAGCCTTGTTTAGCATATGTGGAAAGAACTTCATTGAAGTTTTTCGGAACTAATCGAAGACGATCGTTCGATTATCTCTAGCAAAGTACCGTGTCTTACTTGTCTCAGGTCTTGAAAGTTCGGCAATTTTTTCTGGTGAACCTTTAGTTAATAAATCAAATGAATCCTTGGCAAGAATTCGTACAATTACACTTGTTCGTTGTAATGATGAACTGAATGGTAATTGTCGAACAATACCAATCTCAAATGGAATATTCTACGAAGGAAAGACGAGCATGAGGCTCTTTTTTCTATTTGCGGTTTTTTCATTGACTTACCCCAGCAATTAATGAGCTGACAGAGCCGGAAAGACGACCCGGCGGTGGTGCGATATTGTTTGGCGAGTTAATAGGTCGAACAATCGTAGGAAAAAGCATATCAAAGTTAGCTTGTTCATTTTCAGCTGGTTCATATAATTCATATTGAGTAAATGCCAGCATCTTTAAATCAAGTGGATCACCAGCAAGTTCGCCGTTGATTCTTGTTAAAGTATGGCAAGCTGAATCAAATAAGATACATCGAAGTGAAGTTGTCTATGAAGTAAGCAATACTACGTACCAGCCATACAGACAATGATCATACTGTGTGCTTCTTCATCACGCCAATTTAAATCTGTCACTTCAGTGGTTTGAGAGCCAAATTCAATTTTTTCCATCGTATTGGTTGCATCATATGAGCGAGTAATAGGCACGACACATTGAAGATCAAGACCATCTTCTGTCAATGTACCCGTCTAAACAATCAGATGCGCATGATGAGAATACAACAGTGTAATCGATGAGCACGAACTTTATCGAAGACAACGGTGTTCACTGATCCACATATGTTGATGGAACGAGGACTAATACAGAAAATATTCATTTTTTTCAAGCGATTTTGGGCATAGGCAAGGCCCGCTGAAAGAGCAGCAGGAAGGGCAGGTGGAACAGCAATGGTAGTCACATCAATGGTACGTTTGACAATGACGCCAGCTGGTTCACCGCGTATAATTCGCATAACTAACGAAAAGATCATGCCACCAAGTGCAATTATTGCCATACCGCCAACATATTTGTATGTGTCGGTGTTGAATTTGAAATCAACCGGTTTTGGATAAAGAATCGATCGAATTAATTCACCTTTCGCCGTGTTGAATGCTACAGATAATTCTCGTAGATACAACCTTCGTTTCTTTGCGTCAATTTACCTGTCCGAATGACCACACCACGTACTTCACCAGCGCCATAGTAACGCGTTTGAATAACAGATGTTCCACTGAATAGAATGAATCGATTGTGCTCAGAAATACTGAATGGTTCGTCGAGTCCTGGATGATCAGCTGATGATTGATAATAAGGAATTTGAACTTTCGTCACAGGAATACTTTCACCAGTTAACATCGATTCATTGACAATAACGTTTCCATTCAATAGGACAGCATCACATTGCATCATTGACGAACTACGGATAACGATAACATCGCCTGGAACGAGATCTTCGCTAATTATATCACGTTGTTCTTCTAAAATAAGCACGAGAAGCTTTTCTCGGTAGAACAAGTTTCTTCTCATCCATCAAACCTTCGTGTGTTTCGGGATTATATATAATCACAGTGCTTACTTCTGATTGATGGACTGTATCACGTAAAGCTCGTTCATTCTAGTGGAATACAGTTATTCGGGGATCATATTGTTTAGTTTGAAATTTCACAGAACTTACTTTTCGAACTTCACGTAATGTTATTATGACCGAAACAACAGTTATAAAGACAATACATGATGCATAGGTAACATATTCATCGGAAAACCAGAGAATGCAGGAAAATAGTTGAAAGATATAGAATGGAGAGAGAACCTATTGATTTTATTCGAAAGAAAAGAAGGAAAAATCGTTTTTGTTGGAAATTTGTTCAAATGATCTTCTTTTACTTCTTGAATAAGCAAGCGAAAGATAGGAGTCAGACGAAGACCAATGCTGTTTTCACCATATATAATTTTTCTTGAAAGAAAAATTGATCGAATTAGATCGACAACAAAATTCGTTCAATCAATTACTTGTGTGCACGTTCTTCGACTGTTAGTGGACGAATCTGACTGAAATAATCACATTTGACATTGTTTTCAACACCCCTAATCGAAACAAAGCAATTCCTCAATAGATTTTCTAACCAAACGGATTCCTATATTTACAAAAGTTTAGTAAATTTATATTCAGTTTCTTGCCAAACATAATGCCATCGTTTGTTAACGAAATATCGATGAACAGCTCTCTAAACAATCATAGATAAGATTCACAACACCGAACAAATAACATCATGCTTTCTTCGTATTTAGAATCGCTATCACCATCGTTGTGTCAAGGTGCATTTAAATACGCATACACTACAAAATGATTTTCTCCTTCAGAGATTCTTAGTCATTGCATGAATTGCATAGCAATTCGTGATAGTCGACTGACACCGAGCCAAATGAAACTACCGACATTCACATAAAAAGCACATATAGAAAAGGTAACGGTAATAAATAGCGGGAAGAAGTAAAAGGGTTGACAAATGGCGATAGACAAAACAAGGATTAATATGAGTAGAAATGTTGATGTTAAATGTTGTGCGGGTATATTTTAGTATATGTCAGACTAGATATAGAGACATTATTACGTTTTCAATTTCACAAGAAATCATTTCTTGACAATGACGATGATGATAGATCCATCTCCGAAGAAAAAACTAGGCACAAATAAAAGAGTGAGAGAAAAATATCGTTGATATGCGTTGGATAACATGCGTTATTGACGGACATTCATTTACAAAAGAACATGTCACCAGTACAAAGCCAAACAAATCTACCTACCGTTCGTCGATATTTGTTCCTTGTACGCAGCGTAGCAGAACTGTCGCTGAGAAAAGGTTCACCTGTACACTAAAGACTCTCGATCGTTTTATAGAATTCTTTTTGTTATGGAAGAAAATCGAGTGAATGGTATGATGATGAGGATGATACGAAGAAGAAGAAGAGGTTTTCTATCGTTTTACTTACATCATCTGTCTCTTGTTGATCAGAAAAATGACCATAACGTGAACGATTTGCTGGCGTGAAGTTTCTGCAAAAAGAAACATAGAATGAAGTTTATAGATAGAAACAATTTCAGTACCGAGAATCATTTGGATCATTCGGATTTAGATTTGGATCGACTTTCAGCACAGTTTCAACATACCATTGTTGATATCGATCCTAATGAACATAAAATGAATAGAAAGGTTTTTCTAAGCTGCGATTTTTACTTTCAACAATACATATTGAGCAACAGCTAGATCAGCTCGCGTACAATAGCATCGTACAAACCAATGAGGCTTCCAATAGAACACCAAACGAAGAAATCCAACTGTTAGAAAAATAAATATCCACGTTATAATCGTTCGTGCTATCGACCGAGTATATCCGTATAAGACCTAGGACAGATTGACCTTTCTTCGCGAAAAAACGTCTTTTAAGTACATACAAATTGGTCATCTGTTCCGTCGTTTACAATCTGGTAGGATCGAATGCCACTGGGCTGAGGCATGTCATTGGATGAACCAATCTGAAAGAAAGAAAGAAAAAAACCAAGAGGTTTATTTGAGATGATTTCTCAATTAGCAAATACTTGGCGAAGTTCAAACGATTTCCCATTATCCTGATGATTAGTCATCGAAAACGATACAATTTTATTATGATGTATCGGCGTCTTCAACCTTCACCAATATATTGTCTTAGATGCTGCTATGAATGTGGAGACATGTCCTTAACCTTTTCGTAAATCCGTTTGAAAAATATGAATTGTTTTTCTTTTGTGTTCTTTTATAGACTAGAGAAACAAGATCTATGATTTTTCTTCGTTCGTTACAATCAATCTATCTTCTAAGGATTTAACTAAATATACAATATATTGTCGAAAGAAAAATATTAACTCAGGGCTTCGGATCTGATCAAATACATTTCTTTAACAAATGTTTCCCTCGTCATGTTTACCTGTGCAGCAGTGATTAAATACCAGATATCGAATGCAAAATATGAGTGCAGCTCATGAAAAAACGACAAGTATTTCGATAATCAGCGAAAGAACGCATGTTAAATATCGCAGTACAAATCTTTCTGATAAGGAACATGAATATTTCACCATTTTCGTTACAGAGCCACGCGGGATATCGGGTAAATATACGTTTTTACCGTGTTCTAGTCGAAAATAGGGTAGGTCCGAGAGGGACAAAAGGGCACAGAAACGAACGAAATAGTAGCATGGATAGAAAAAGAACTGAAATATAGAAATAATAAACAAAACAATAAAAATTTATCATATTGGATAGCAAATCTAACCAACGAGAAAGAAGCAAAAGAATACTATGGTTATGTATAGTATTATTATTCGGTTTGCTTCGGGAAACTCTATTTGAAGAAAAGATCAGCGTGAGAAACAGATTTTATTAATCTGCCTCGAGAATTTTCTGACGTCATCATTAATAAAGATATCACGAAAAGAATTCTCTTTTTCTTTGAATCTATATGACAAAAAAAGGAAGAAGCCCTACACGATACTGTTTTTTTTGAATAATTCGCTCGGTAGGCAGAATCGAACTGCTACGCCGCGAAGCGTCCCTAGGTTTGAAGCCTAGCCCCGGCACCAGCCGAACTCAACCGAGCATTTAGACAATCATCTAAGATCTTTATATATTGAAATACAACAAAATAGTTCTGAAAAGAAATGCGGTGAATTGATTTGCAACAAATTTTGTCAGTTAGTGACACCTGTTTGCATTTGAAATTAAAATTCAATTACAATTTGAAACGAAGTCTTCGAAGTGTAAAAAATGAGAAGAAAATATTTTGAAAAAAATCGAGATTTCAAGTGCGTATCTATTGACATCTATGATGAAATTTCATGCCATTGGATTCGATGATCAGTGAACAAATGGGTGTTTTATCCAAAACTATGTCAATTTGAAGTACTTGCTTGGAAAAGTAGAGAAAACGATAATCATATAGTGAGAACCTAATTTTATTCAAAATGTCAGCAGATAGTAATACTGGTAATAAATCATTCTGGCCGGTCAAAACAGCTTTCAAAGAGAAGATTGTCGTCCTCTATGACGCTCTCTTAAGTGTAAGTCTAGTATTTGTTTTTTTAATATGTCGAATGATGAGACACTCGTTATCCTCAGGGTGATCAGCCATGGCTCGAAAATGGACATTATTGGGATGACTTCTTCCTTCTGAAAGTCAATGCAAAATATCTATTAGAAGAACTCGATCGAAATTATGTTGAAAAACCAGCCATTCTAAAAGTATGATTCTATTTTGGTTGATCATTGTTAAGAATATATTCGTTTTCTAGCCTCAATTGAATGCTATTTTTGATCAATGTCTTGTTTTTGTTAATTCTGCACATCGCATTCGACAATTGAATGCTTATTATGTAAGTAAAAAGACTTGTGATCTCAGCAGAAGACCTGACGTGTTTCTCTGTAGACAATTTGTGTTCTGATACATGCAGTCAGCCGAGTCAATCAACGGAATGGTTTTGGTCATCCGGCATTGGATTTTCTTTGCGGTAGTGAAGGTGTTGAAAACAAATTCGAAGTAAATCTTTCCTCCTACACACGATTTGATTCATCAAATGTTATGTTTTGTCTCTCTAGACTCTAGTTGAATCAGTTAACCATACATTTCTCATCGATGACAGTTTATCCGGAAGTACTTTATTGAAAAACGCTGCCTTCGACGTCATTCTTACTTGTTGTACAACAATGCTGAATATCAATGAAAATATGCTGATGGATTACATGATGGCAAATGCCAATCTGTTCGATTCAATTACACAATTAATCATTCGCTCACCTGCAAGTCATGGCTATGATATCTGCCTTCTGTTAGCGTTGCTTTTACAATATCATAAATACGATGTAAGGAAAATCTAATTGGGAAGATTCTCTTCGATGTTGTTTCCTTGTTATTAGACATCTAATACATATATTGTGCGATTTTCTGTTTTTGATGATGAAGTAGCCTTGACGGTAAGTTGATGAAGCTAATGGTTTGAAACTAAAGATATTTCTGGTGATTTGTAGAGTTTAGCACAAGTAATTGGCTCATCTCTTTGTGAATATAATAAGTAAAATGATTGATATCTGTTTGTTGGTGAAAAAAGAAGTGAAGAATGACGATTTTATCTAGAGCTTATGATATCGAACGAACAGCCAACGAGTCCTCATCCTGGTGGAGTTCATTAACAACATTCGTAAGTTTTGTATTCTAATTCCATGAAAAATCTATTCGTTCTTGTCAATAACCTTTGATACTTTATTCTAGGTTGGTTCAGCCATTCAATCCACTGGTGGCAATCGCCGAATGAAAAAGTAAAGTATTTTCCCCTTTATTCGTAGTTTTTCAATCTTTTCTTTTGCAGAGTTGATGATTGTCTTCTACTTGCATTCTATGAAGCTGTTCACTTAAATCGGAACTTTATTTCTGCACTGACACATGTAACTATTTCATAGAATTGAGAAGCACAACTGAGATTGTTTGCTTTTCTAGACAGCTACTAATTCATGGGGAACGAAAAGCCCGACTTCCAGTGATATTTTGCCGCCATCTTTACCAGCTATGGCTACACCAGCTACATTGATGAGTAAATAGATTACTGCTTATTTCCTGAAGCTAATAATGTCATTGTTTTTGTACTCTGCAGCACAAGAACAAACAGATTTTTCTGATATGGATGATTTCTCTGGATCAAATAATCTTCTCTCTGTATTTCTCGAATATTGTTCAATTATCCAACAGTTCTCCAAAAGTAACTTTATTAATTGATCTTCTTTGTTTCTCATGCCACTCGTTTCAGATGAAGATATGTGTAATACAACCAAATTATGTTATTTGATTCTTCTCTGTATAACAGAAGATGAATTCGCCAATGCCACAATGCACGATGAAAATGTTATATTCAGTGTTTATCTTCATAAAGCTGTATAAATTTTCCATCTCCTGATGTTTCAAACTGACTTTTCTTTCTCTTTCCAGCCTATGCGCCATCGTAAACAGAACAACGAGAAGAATTCTCCATCACGCCCATTAGCCGTTGCCTTATTAGATCTCACGATGGAATTTATCTGGAGTCATATGATGCGCAATTTTCCCTATGATCTGTATACGTAAGTTTCGTTTTCTCGTACGTAAGTAAACACTCAACTGTTCAATAGGAAATGTATTGGAATCATTCAACGTATACTTTCCTTTCAAAAACGTACACGAACACGATTATCATATTCCTGGCGACCTCTGTGGAATGGTAAGTTTATCATTTCGAGATTTCATTTCGGAAACACTCGTCTACTTAGCATTGATCACTCTTTTGAAATTTCTTCAAAATTGTGAGTCACAATTAGCCAAACATCGTGATTTGTTCCAACTCGCATCTAAAATCATTAATATCTTTAACTTGTTCATTACTTTCGGTGACACATTTCTACGCACTCCTGAAGCTTACGATGAAGTTTTTTATGAAACAGTACGATGCTATCATATATTCGATAATCTCTTTGCATTTGGTAAGTTTTCACGTTCACTAGTCGATCGACTGTTTAACATTTCTCTTAGCTTGTCGATATGCGAACAATGATAATGAATTCAAAGAATCAGCGTTGAAACTGATGGTGAATTTAACAAATATTAAGTAAGAATAAATGTGTCTCAACGGGAACATCCTATACATTTCTTTATTAGATTGATCACACATCATTTCAACACAAAGATTGAAGCTATTTCAAATAATCAAAACAATCCATTGACAGAGAATCAAGTATTTGAATGGCGACTAAACGTGCTGCTTTCACCTTTTGATCCTCTAGGTTTTAGAAATTATTCGAAATAATTACGACACATTAGCACTGAAGCTGCATGATGATCTCGATCAATATGATATCTATTCAGAAAAAGCCACCGAAGCTTCGTTTTTGGCCAATATCGTAAATAGATAGAGTGATTTTCTTCGGAACCATCCTCATTGATTCTCTTCCATAGACACGCAATATAATCGGCAACTATCGTCGTCAATACTCACTGGACACCAATAGTACAGTTCAACTGTCGAGTATACTCCTCAATGAAGTTCCAACAATCAGTTAAATCGATCAATTAGCATTTGACTCTCAACTAGTGACTTATATATTTCCTTTCATGTTGAATGTTTCTGTGATAGTCACTAAACATTTTCAGACTTCGTTCGCTCTTTTTTTTTGTCTTCTCTTATCTTCTCTTCATTTCCAAACAAAATAGCAAATTTTACCTGTATATACGAAGTCTTTATGATGACTATTATTATAGATGTCAACTGTTACGTTAACGGTCACTCCATTTCGGAACGAGTAAGAGCATTTGAGTAGATAGAAGACTTTTTATTGAATTGTTGTAGCCAAGAGATACGAAATTTAATCGATTTGGCTTATTCAAATGACATTGATGATAAACGAGAAGCAATTAATAAACTAAATGAATTAGAAGCAAGGTAAACGTCGGTTCTTTACTGAATAATCTGAATAAGAATGTGTTTTTCACGTATGTCTAGACTTAGCCAATTACCAATGGGTCTTGGTTCGCTAAAACATATCCTTAAAGTAGAAATAATCCGAACCGAACAACGAGAACAGAACAAATTCGATGAGAATAGTTCGCTGCAATACGCTTGTGCTGTTGCTGTGCTCAAGTACGTTCACATCGTCGAACTCTTTCATCGATTTTTTCATACAAAATGGTCTTTATTATAGATTCGTCGATGCTGTTAGTGTACCTTATCGCGTACATCATTCTCGTCTTTCATATCGAAATATTGCTAAACAGGTAAAACCGCCTTTTTCAATGTTTTCTCGTGATTTGATCGTATATGGGTTTTAGGTGGATTTACCCGGTAATATTATCAGTTTACGTCATGATATTGCCCATCATCATGAATTACCATCATTGAACGATTTGCTTGCAGCAGTGGATTTTAGCAAACAATGGCTTCGAGTAAACGATCGAAATTGATATAGAAAATGAAAATCTATTTGAGATATTTTCAGAAAAACTGCTTGGATGAATTGGTTGAAACAATGGCGTTATTCAGTCAGGGTTCCTATAGTGAATTGTTAGGAATTATTGCTCAAGAAACAGTTCAAGCTTTTGTCGAAGCACGTTTGAATGTATGTTCGGGTATTTTGTTGTTAGAATTATTCTAAGAAATACTTTATTTAGTTTTTGACAAAACGAAGCAAAAAACGATTACGAATTGTTGACGAACGCGTGGAAGAGATTCGTAAAGCCTTGCAAATGTGTAATGGAAAGTGAGAATTCCTTTTTTTGGAAAAATTCGAATGTATTGAGAATTTGTTTCAGAGAGATAATGGCAGAAACTTTTGTTCTATGCGGACATTTTATCATGGTGCCTAACCAACTAAAACGGCTTGGCTATGATTCTGGTGAGTAATTGATTGTTGAGTAACAACATATCTGACTGTTTTGTTTCATTGAAGATTCATCTGATCTTCTTCCGGCGTGTGTTACTCAATTCTGGAAGCCGATTCTTCATTTAATTTCGAATGATACTAGTCTCATTTTGATTATTATCGATAAAATCTTGATATTCATCAGCGATTATTATCGTTTGCCGTCGAATGATTATTCCATCATTGATCAACAACGAATCGGCTGGATATTCTATTTAATTGATCAATCAGCAGCGAAGCTTGATCTTTGTGCAATCTTTCTACGTTTGGCTCGTATTCTTCAACCATGGTTTGCTGATTCTCTTTCTCAAATGGTTATTCGTATGGCTGATAACCATAATGGAACTCGCAAAGCTGTTATCAGTGAAGACAAACGTGACGCGCTTCTTCGTACGATATCCATGTTTGCAAATCCATTTGAGAATATTGATGATAATCAGATCACGACGTCATCGTCTATAGAATCTTTTCCACGAGATCGATTGTATCAAGAGGAGTTAAACCTGTTCAGAAAACGTAAAATGATGCAAATTGTCGAAATATTTTCTGTAGAACAAAGTCTTTTTCTAGGTACAAAATTAGCTGAAGTGCCAGCTGGATTAGTCGATAGTGAAGATGAGCAAAACCTCGAAATGAATATTGATCTTTCAAAATCAGACCGAAATTGTAAACTGAGATCATTTTCCGTCATGTGCATTGACATCTTCTTCTCCTTGTAGTTCTTGGATGTCCATCTAAACAAAAACCATTGAATACATCACCAGTGAAACGAAAAAGGACAAGTTCACGTATGTTCATTTCCATTTTATTATTTTGATCATTTCTCTTCCTTTTGTAGCAACCATCGATTCGAAACTCTTTCAAGATCTGCTCTATCCTCGACATTCCTATCGATATTAGACAATGTGTGTGGTTTCTTTTTGTGTGTAGTCAGATGTACTGTTATTCATTATAAAATTATCTTCTTCCTGCATACCATCAGATTTTTATCTCATATATGAATAGACTGTAATAACAAAGAATAGTGGAATAAACCAAAAGATTCATCGAAAGAATGATTGTCCGATAAATTTAATCATCCATTCGACGGTTGAGCAAGATGAATGTTTGGATTGATTATTCTCATTGTTAGGAGTCGCCTGTTGAGAAGTAGATATTACATGACATATATAAATCGATCCTATGAGAAGATTAGTGAGTAGTAAGAGAGAAAACCAGTATCTTGTTATGTTAAAGGCTTTGTCAGATTCAGTCATATGTATTCTTTTGATTCGTTTAATCTGTCGATGAAAAATCGATGATTCTTCATCAATGGACGAGATTATATTGGTTTTTGACAGATTTGCATTCTGTGTATATGTATTGAATGTCAACGATCGTCTAGCACGAACGATTTTCTTTCGATCAGTTGGATGAACTCGAGATGTTTTATTTTCAAAAAATGCACTAATATCTTTAAATGTTGTTGGAATAACAAAACCATTTTCATCGACATCTGTTTCCACAGATATTGACTAAATGGAAGATGATCCAAATAAACGACACATGTAATAAAAAAAAAACGTCTTTTCCGCTTATTTTGTTAATTGACAAGCAAAAGCAAACATGATTTCACATACTTTCCTTTGTCGATTCGATTCAAATAAGTGATTAATTGTAAATCCATTCGATAGATTCGTACTGGTTGCTTGTACTGTATACGTCTCATGTTTCTCATCGGTGAAAGCATTGGTGTTGGATATCGTACTTTCATTGAGCATTTCCTGAGATTCAATAATTGTTGGGAGATTGAATCGATGTTTGTTCATTGGTTGATAAGTCGATTGTTTCGGTAGTAAAGTTTTTGTGACGAACTTTGAACATGGATGATCAATTTCTTCTTCTTCAATGAGACTTTCGAGGTTCGGTATCGATGATGATGATGGCCGTTGAATAGCGCTTGGAGAATCTTCCCGAACACGCGGTACTGTTGGTGATAGTTGTGAGGGTGAAGAGAGAAGAGTTCGATGACGATCGAAGTTCGAGTTGTTCTTTGTGCTCATTTCAAATCGAGTCTTCCACATCCGTGAACAGTACACACGTGAGGAAAGGCTGAAGTGAAAAATAAATAGTTTTGACAGACAAGATCGAAAATGAGCAACAAAGTAGCGGGCAAATTCACAGCTTTTTATAAACGAATAGGTTTTCAATGAATCATTATTTTCGATTGTGTTTATTTCGAAACATAGTATCACGTTCGATGTCGATAGATTACTCTAACGATGAAGAATGTACATTATTTATCGAACCATTCTTCAAGATTCAATATTGAGACTAATATTTTTCGAAATTGAAAAAGTATGTTTCTTTTAGAAGATTAGAATTTTTATTCGAAAAACATTGATCTATCATTTCCGGTTTTCTATCTTATATGATTCGTTGTATTTCACAGCGATGTGCAGACTTTATGAATAGAAATTTTCTTTGCGTTCGCTTTTCATACACGTTTAAGGTCGTATTTTTTGTAGAATTATATGCAAAACCAAGATAATCGTCCATGTTAACAGCACAAGAATTCCACCGGCGAATGTATAACTCGAACTATGAAACATCACATATGACCATTTTTTTTCAAAACAATTCAGCAAACATCACTTACAGCAGATTTGTATAAGTGTACCGACAATCGGTGACGATGAGAAACCAGTTGAAGTAAATTGATGGTGTACAAACTGTTGTTAAACATAACTGACATGTATATCCAAAGAGAAGTAAACTGGAAATAAGAAATTTAGTAACAACGATGGATGACGCATTCGGATTGTGTTCTGGGTGAATACCGATCGGTAACCTATCAATAAAATTTAGTATAGATGTGAAAGAATCTAGTAGACTTACCATGTTAGATCCGATTTGAACAGAGATGCGCCTAATCGCCGTGCGTAATGAAGAATAAGAAGAAGAAATAAAACGACTAGACCTATTTCCCACGGAAGAATTTTATTATAAGCAAGTACGAAGATAAAATGAATAATCGTGAAAACAATCGTGGAAATGTAATGATAACAAAGACGAGAAGATTTTCGTGAATCTTTATATTGCCTATATAATCCAATGGAATAAGTAATAAGTATTATGCAGAGTAACGACCAATGAATGGAGGAGAGCGCAGTTAATATTAATTGTAAAGCTAAATGGAAGAAGACGGATGATATAAATTGCCGGTTTATTATCATCTACAAAATGGTTTATGATAATGAACAGAGATAAACTGAAACGCATTTATCAAAAATATCTGCAACATTTTTATTTAGCATTTGGAATATCTTCTAACAGATGATCAATCGTTTTCGTCGCCGAACGAGTAAAATTGACTAAGATATGAGTGTACAACGGACGTGTTTCAACGCTAGCAACAGAATAATCTAAAACGCTGAGTTGTCGAACGCCGTCGTAAGAATATCGGAGCCATTTACTTAGTGTACCATAGCTAAAAATTAAAATGAGTACTATTCAGCAGAGAGATTCGGGGTAGCTAAGTACCGGTTTGTTGCAGGTGTTTGCTTTTTATGACGAATCATTTTATAACGACCAATACGATTCGGTGGTCGACTCATACGATATCCTGCATGGCGTAATCTAATTTAAATGACTCAAAGAAACGTAAACGGAGACAGAATCGTCATATACAAACCTATGATTCATGTCTAAAATGAATAGAAATCGAATTAGAAGCATTTGTTATATTTCAACTTACCATCATCTTCGAACTATGTTGTGAAAAAGAAGGCAAATTGATATTGCGAACTATAAAATATAATCAACTTACACCCCAACCCCAATACAAGTTTGACCACCCGTTTGCTTTGAAGAACTGTTCCTTAGTCAAGGCGAGGACGCCACCGATCAAATCGTTGTACATTAAACTAAACAAAAACACCATCGAAGATTCATAGATTTCAATTCTTATGCAGGTTCAACTAACAAGTAACGTAATTCATCAACGGCCGGTGCTAAATGCCGCGGCCCCTGTTGTTCACATTCGTAAACATTATAATCATTTTCTGGTATGAGATCAACATCGTGAAAGATGAAACAATCAAACAGAGGTGAAATTATTTTTGATGCATGATTAAATGCCACGTTCATAATTAAACCCTTATTAAAAGTGCCATTGCCATACTAAATTCATAAGATAACAACAGTTTATTTCGATTTGGAATGTTCAAAATCAACCTGTTCAACAACGAACACTCGATAAGCTCGCTTTTGCCGCTGTAAAAATGGATGAAGATGCCGTAAAAGCATCTGAAGTTGTTTTTCGCGATAACGAAATGGAATAATGATGGCAAGTTGCTGCCGACTAGTACAATCACTTGGAGTGTAAATACCGCCTAAAAACTATTTTACAAACAGAGCATAATCGACTTTTAGAATTCGTACCTTTTTCGACATTTTTTACTTCTTTTTCCACATCTGTCCACGTTAATTCCGATGACATATCGATTGGAACATTATCTTAAATGAAAAATAAAAACACACAATAACGAATGAGAACAACGGATTCTCCATTATACTTAAAAGTGTCGATGGATACAATTCACATGATCCCGAACTTTTTTTCCCATTATCTTTGATTATATATTGATTCGCCGTTTTCTCATCGTGCATATTACATAACTGAATAACTATAATAACACTAACTGCCAGAACAAGCACCGGCAAGTTTTCGCTGGTCTTCAAGCGAGTAAACTTCCGAGAAGAAATCATCGATCTACAAATAAAAGTGAACACGACTTGAACTGTATTACATCTACTTGAGGAAATGTTACAAAAGACCATATGGGTGAAGGCAATGAGACATAACCGTCATGCTTCAATTCACCACATTTCTTTTTTTATATGCTGCACGTGCATGTTTTTGCATTCTTTTACGTAAAATCGTTTTTATGATGGAGTAGAAATTAAAAAGAGAAAAGTTGGAACATGTTCTTTGACTATGATCGATCGAATATCTGTAGTAATGCCGAGTATTCAAAGAAAATAAGCTGCTCTTTCCTGTATTCAAATTTATAGTCTATGCACTGTGTTCTTTATGAATAATACCTCTTCTTTTTTGCATTGACTATTACACAATTAGATCAGGTTAAAAACGATTGATGAAAACAATAAAAGACTCGTAAAACTTAAATTTTTTCTCATGTGCAAATAGAAAAATCGACATCAATCCTCAAATATCTTCTTAAGAAGTCCGATAAACGATTGATTATCACAACTTTTCAATGTAACTTACTTTCACATAACCATTGCGACATATATTTGCTTTTCTATTCTAATGAATGACTTCTACGGAAAAGAAAAACCTAATTAACTCACGCTTAATGAATTTCTATCGACTTTTCTTTGTCACACAGTATAAATCATTGAAAAGTTACACGCATTCTGCATTCAGGAGGAAAAAGACAATGTTTATTGATTGTGTTTATTAACTCTCGCTTGTTTTATCATTCTTATGTCAACAATATGATTTAATCAATTTCACCTTGTCCTTTGTTACTAGTTTCATTTTTTCTATCATTATACATTGAAGTACTGGTAACCATAAATGTAGGACATCGAATTTCTGCTTATCTTTCACTTCTGACAAAACGTGTGTTTTATACGTACCACATGGCAAAGATTAGTTTCAGCTAATGGAAGAAAAATACTTGAATTTGCACACGAAACAGTCACGGAAAAGATTTTGTTGCGTGATAATTGATGCGATTGTGCAGCGAAGTCTGAAAATATTCATCCGCATGGAGGAAAGCACTGTCTAAATTGTTAATCTCATTCGTTTGAATAAACGGCAACGCGCAGAATTTTATTTACTTAAAAGAAAAAGAAAAAGACGAGAAAAAAGAAACGTGTAACCTTCGCAGGCATAGAAACTAAAAAAAGAACGCTGAAGTTGTTATTATTATAGGAAGAGGAGCGACAAATTCAAGAAATTGACATTGAGTATGCGACAATAATGGAAAGAAAGAGAACCAGTTCTCATCAGGGTTTTTTTCTATGGAACTGAAGGTCATTAGCAAAAGAAGACTTTGAAAAATTTTCTTTTTTCCTAAAAAACGGCAGCAAATGCGATGACTGTCGTCTGCAAAAAACGATTGAAAATAAATATCTATGGGAGACATAAGAAAAGAAAAATCAATACTGTAATATTTCGTGTTGTGCTTGTTCTACATGCGAGTAATCATATATTCTGTAATAATACTTATCGATCAGCTGATTTATTCATTCTTACAATGTGACGAGAGAAATACGCGATATTTGACATATAATGCAAAATTTCAACTATTATTTGACAAAATTCTAATTTAAAATACATTAGCAGGAGGCTAGTCTTGCCTCATGCGTGTATACATCTCTAATCGTCACGGAGAAGCTATGAATATGTCATTTCGTCGATTTATATTCTTGTGCACCTGAGAAAATATGATTTTTTTATACATAACAAGATGACTTCATAAAAGAAGGATGATATGTTCCACACACACAAAAATGTTTATCAAATCTTTACAACAGATTATTCGTTTTTCATGGAAAAAGTGTGTGGCATATAACGCACATGACTCTTCATTTGCTAACTGAAAATAAGAGAGATAATCAATGTTTCGATTGATGCTATATTTCTGTGACCATGATTTACCTTCGCTTTCTTGTTTTTGAGTCACATTTGATATGATAACAACCTACGCTTCTTGTTTACACTTTGCTGTTGGTGTTTTGAATACTACTTAGGTATCGTTCTCCTTCCCTACATACATTGTTTACACTTGAAATTGACCCAGGTCATCAAACTATGTAATTGCACATGAAGCGAAAAAAAAAGGAAAATTAATCAATGACGTGCGACGGTAATGACAAGTGTTTTGAGCAATCTTGCCAAAAAAACCATGATGCTTTGCATTAAAAAGTACATGATTTAGTGTGCATCTAATTATCTGTAGCATAGCCTCACATGTCGTTCACTATAAATACTTGTTCTATTTTCTCATATTGAAAACGTTTCTTTCGGCAGGCAATCATCACAAAATGATGTCCACCATCTCCATAAATTTTTACTTACTAAACAAAATCTTCAATTGTTCTTTTTATTCTAGTTACTTTCCGATTCCTGAATTTCATAGAATCAATGGTTGTGGGGAAAATTGCCATCGCGATTGTCGCAATCGTCGCTGCCATGTTGGCTATTTCAGCAGCAATTGTTCTAAGTCTTATATCGGTTTATATACCCGATCAAAGTACTTCAGTGACAAGTATGACATGCATTCCATGTTTTTCTCTTGAAGAATTGCTTATAAGCGCCTATTCATGGTATTTCAGTTGATGATAAAACTTTCTTCATCATTGTTTACTCTGAATGGTATCATAATTACAAAGCTTTTACTTTATCTCCATCAGTGATTTTTATATAATTCAATTTACTTTTTAGCGTATCAGAAGTGCCTGGCAGTGGCGTCTAAATTCGCAACAACAGTCACTGGGCCAGTTTCAAACATTACAACAACAACAGGTGTCACTGTGACATGTTCACAACTAGGATCAACTTCATGCCCAGGTTCCATGGTAAATGGAATATGTACTTGGCAACGCAAACTGGCTGTGACATGCATTGATGGAACAACTGTTCGTATTCGAGTGCAATCCAACGGTCTACCTGGAAGATGCATCGATGTTCCATCATCTGTTTCTATTTCGGAACAAAATGTCGATTTCGCAGTCAACTTCAATCCGACAGTTAGCGTTAATTCACCAATACTCACGCCAACCACTCAGACACAACTGGACGCTATATCCTGTAACATTACAAGTCAAAGCTCAGCTCCGTCATGGTCAAATTTAGTTACCTACTCGACAACTTCTCTGGATACCTTAGTTGGAGTAAGTATTGATAATGTAGCCATTCTCAATGTCAACAGCGCCAATATGGTTGATCCATTCTATCCATCAGGTGGCTATAGCGCAGAATCAGTCGATAGCTGTTTGGCACATCCTCAGACGAGTGGTGTGTATCACTACCATGCTGCTAGTGGATGCTCTGTCTCACCTCCAACAGGCAACATTTCGCTCTGTAGTACGTCAAATGGATGTTCAACAAATGTCGCTGGTTGGATCACTTCGACATGGCCTTCATCAGCCAAAAAGCTAACTGTTATCGGTATTGCCAAAGATGGCCATGTCATCTATGGACCATACCTTAACGGCGGTAAATTAGTTACCACCGGTTTCGATATTTGCAATGGAATGTTCTATGATAGCAGTGGTGACTATGCTTATTTTGCCACAACAAAATATCCATACATTACTGGCTGTTTTGGACCTTCGAACTATCCGTCGGTTGGTCCTAGTTGCACGACAAATGGTCAACAATCGTACACAATGTCAAGCTATGCAGCTGCGAGATATACTGGATGAACAGACAATCAGTGAATGTTGTTTTTTATGCTGTCGAACTTCCTATCTCTACGTCATTCTAGAAAATTTTTTCTTTAGCACATCCCTTGAATGTTTTTTTCTTATTGCGTACTAACATACATTTGTTTTTCATTAACCTGGTTTTTTTTGTTTTCAAGGGCCTCATTATACTTGTCAAAATGCATACTCTTTGTATTTATCATATTCATCCATTTCAGTCATGTTAACTGCGTGTGCTTATTCATGCAGTTATAGTTGTAGACACAACCTATCTATTCTCCGACATCATTCATGAATCCTGCATGTCGCGTTGCTCAAATATTCGAGATAAATTCGACTTTGTAGAAATTACCTCTCTTTGTCATTTGCAAACGCACGTTTCGTGTCATTTCTTGTGAATCGCAATCTATTCGAATTAATCATGTAACAGAAAAAACGGAAGTGCTTATTTCGAAAATATCAACATTAGAAATTTTCTCTCTATTGCATACACATTTGCGCAGGTTAATTTTCGTTCTTTAGCGTCGCAAAAAATATTCATATATCACCTACTGCTTGTCCTTCCTACCGTTCCGCTCTTGATCATAGTTTCAAGTAAACATCATGTGCCTACACCCTTATGTTTTTAATCATACGGGCGTATCAAGATTGTTATTTGTTCGTCGATTTTGATCTAGTTCTAATTTTACGGCAAACAGTTTCGCTCTTGATCTGGTATGTACAACGTCAATAGATATAGGTGTATCTAGCGAACTAAAAAACGAAAAATTAATGAAAGAAAAGTTGCTACCAAGGTCATCGCATATTGGCGAAAACGATAACAAGTGACTCTTAAAGGTATATTGTTTGTCATGATATACATGATATTTCATCGCACAGTATCTCTGACGATTTGGATGAATAGTCGATATGATTTGTCAGAGTGAGAGTCATGCTAATGTAGAACGAGCATTCATTATATTTGTGGTTCTACTGTACATATTTCAGTACAGTTGCACGATCTTCTAGAAAGATGTTCCAGTATACATATCACCGACAATTTTAAAAAAGAAAATATTCATTTCAGTTATATTTAAATTGCATTGGCATGTTTAGATATGGTGAAACTCATTCATATCTTCAATTAAAAATCTGGTCAATCTAAAAACTATTCTCATATACTTGTTTATAGAACAATCTCAGAAATTTAGACTGTATTCAATCAAGAATCATAGCATCTTGCATTAAATTTGACATCTAGGAACAATAATGAAGAAAACCTATATTTTGGATTGTAAAAAGTACATTGATCATAATATTTCAACCAGTTATATAACGACTCTCACTTGTCCACATGTTATCAATCGTAATTATTAGTTAACCATAACGAAGTATTTTGAAAGAGAAATTTCCCAATCATAATAATTTTTAATACGTTAGAAAAACAATTAGAAAGGATTTCCTTCAGACATATATACCTACAAACCTTCACGCATCCTTATCCTATGAATCTTTCTCTCTACCAAAGAAGTCTTGGTGAAAAGTTTCGTGACGTTTACTATTGGAGGAACTCAATGAATAACGAACAGACAGACTGATAAACAACATGTCTTCTCTATATATATAGAGATGAATTCATTTGATACTATCGTACTATCGTTTGCTCTGCTCTTGTGTCATAAGTTTATCAGACAAATAAGAAGAGATACGCAAGGAAAAATCCACGAAATATGTTGGAAATAGATAAAACAATTATCTTGAAATTTATCGGGCGAGACAAAACATATTTTCATTTCTGGATTACAAGACAAGATATTACTACGATAAATCCAATAATATACTACTGATGAGCTCATCCTCGTCGATAAACAGTAAGACTTTCATATCTAGTAGATAGACAGTCGCTATATGTCTTAACATTTTTTTCTGTAATTTCACCTAGCGACTGATAAAGTGAAATAACAAGTTGAGTAAACGGATTGTCATTACAGCTTTTTCATCTCTATCTAGTTGATCGTAATAGTATAAAAGTGACGATTTGTTAAACGTTTTAGTGCTTACCTATCTTTCCAATCCGGTTGAACATATGGACGCAAGTAAGAATAATAATCGTCTCGCTGCTGACATGATCAGCGTTGCTTTGGATGCGGCAAAAGGGCACGAAATATCCACCGAATATCTGGATCAGATTCGTAAGACAGCTGTCAATAGTTCCAACCAATCGGACTCACTTGCGGCCAAACATATTCTTTGTGTACATGCTGCTCAACGCTGTGAATTCGTGGAACCGAATTATTTCGTCAGTCTATCTGAACTTTTATCGACTGATAATGTAATAATTCGTTCATGTGTCATGTGGACATTTGCAATGACATTACCATGTGAGAATGTTCTTAATTCATTTTTAATTCAAGTATTATTCGATTCATTGAAAAATGAAACACTCGGCTGGAGCGTTGCTTATCTTTTCCGGAAGATGTCGGAAAATGGTAAATACATACCGATGATGCCTGATGCCAAATGGGTCTCTATGACAAAGCTATTATTCGACGAAAAACTGAATGAACAGGTTCGCACAGCGATCGTCCACACGTTAAGTCAAGTGCTCAAGGTTCGACAAACAACTGCGCCAATAATCAAACATGACCTAGAAGAATTAGTGATACTTAAAAAGATTCCCATACAACTCTTTGTTGCAACAGTGAATGCTTTACATTTAATGGTCATCGATGGTGCTATTCTTGAAGACAAAACAGTGAACAAATTACGCCACTTAGCAACGAACACTGATAGTACATGTATAGAATGTATTCACGAATTACTGGATTTTGTTGATCATAAACGAATTTTGTCTAATGTAGTTCTCCTTACAGATAATAGCCCTGTGAAAAAGGAATTAACCATTAGTCAGAGCACATCGATCTCTCGTTGTGAAGAACAATCGAACGAGCCAACATCGAACGCGCTAGATCTCGATCATTTACTAGGTACGACTGGTTATCTCGATCGAACATTTAATGCCGAGGCGCAACCAAAAACTGTTTCATCGGGCAGCAATCGGGCTTGGTATCGATCGAATCTTCAGGAAATAGAGAATTTAGGGATGTTAGCTACAAAAGGGCAATTGAAAGACCGAGATTTTGATTATCTTTTAGCCGAGTTCAAAAGTGCGGTTTATATCGGTTGGAGCAAACTGAAAACTCGATCATCCGTACATAAAATGATCGCCACTATCTTTCGAGATGCAGCGAAAGTCAAACAAGCCATTCCATTGGGCATCATTGATGAAATGGCTGGTCGATTGATAAATGATGAACAAGGTGTATCTGGTTTATGCGCTGAAACTCTTTTAACCATCGTCAAGAACCAACATGACTTAAACGATAAACAAATGAAAAAAATTGAAGAAGCCTTAGTCAAAACAAGCGATTCTGCAGTGAAACAAAACTTGATCGAAATCTACGCTCTGTACATTTCGAAAGGTTATCATTCAACATTAGATTTAAGTTCCATTGAAAAAGATTTACAAAACCCTGATACGTGTTTACCTCCCAGTTATCTGTTTTTTAAAGCAGTGGCTATCGACAAACACACATTTACTGATCAAACACTACGAATTCTAAGTCAAGTCAGCATGAATGATAAATATAATATCAACGCACGAAACAATTGTTTATTGGCGATAGCGTACAGTATCCGAGAGAGCAAAGCGAAACAGTCGATCTCTGCAGAAGTAATCAATGATCTTGCTGAAATGCTGACCAACCCAGATACGAGTATCAAACAAACAGCAGCAGTAGCACTTTGTTATTATGGTAAGGACGAAAAGATTGTCTTATCTGTACAAGTTCTTGAACGATTGGCTGTTATGCTCGCCGCAGAAGATCAAGCGCTATTAGATAATCTTGTCTCTCTCTATCACAAAGTGTCGCAAAGTGATCAAATTATTCCTGTTGTGGCATTGAACAATCTTGCACATATTCTTCAACATTCGGACTTTTCCCTTCGTCAAAAAGTTCTCTGGATATTCAATCATGTCGTGACTAAAGGAAGAGAACTACCTACAGTCATTCTCGATAAAATCGACCTTTGTTTAGATGATCAAGAATTTCATATTCGAGATCCAGCAGGTCGAACGTTTATTACCTACTGGAAAAGTCAACTGCAGAAAGGTGACAATGAACGAATTCGCCATATATCAGCTCGATTGGAGAAACTATTGATTCTATTTCAGCATCCATACGAATCAACGGTACGAATCTCAGCATTGAAATTTCTTCAACAACTGGTAGAAAAAGATATTGATTTGCCCGAAACAATTCTTCAATTAATTGAAATGTGTCTTTATGAACGTGAAGCAAATATTTCTAAGGAAGCCATCGCCGTTGTTCTATCTTATTCCCAACGTCGATCGCTGCGAAAGACCACTGTCGTTTGTTTAGAACATTTATTAACCACTGAAACACCAATTCTGTCTGATATCATCGTCATTTTGAAATCTATCGTTGAATCTGGTCGTGTTCTATCGAAAAAAGTTGTCGATATTCTTGGTCAATTGATTTTAACGAAAAGCGATCCTAACAATATCGTCATTCTTCTCACGTTCGCTGATCGCCATCAACCATTATCAAAATTGGTCGACGAAGTACTTCGTCAAATTTATTTTGCTAAAGCGTTAAAATACTCGACAAATCAAATGACAATTGACAAAGCTGTTGAAGGATTACTTCGATTGACGCAGAAAGGTCAACAGTTATCATTATTTGCTCTCAATATATTATTCGAATTGCTGAAATCAGTCAAATACCAGTCTTTATTGATGCCAATTATCCTTACTGTTATCTGCAATGGACAACATATAAAAGATGAGGAACATCGTTCTTTGTTAGATCAAATCTTTCTTCAAAGTGGTAATCATCCGACACGTGATTTAGTATTGATCTTTACTGAATTGAGTCGACAAAATCAAGTCATTTCTGATAGTGCTGTACATCATTTGGAAAAACTTCTTGACGATCAATCGATTAATATATTCATCATCGAGATCTATCAACATTTGCTCGAACGACGAAAACCTCTCGACCCATCTATTGTTCAACGAATACTTAAATCGTTTGATGTGAATATCTGGAAAGATCTATCCGCGGATTTCCAACATCGATTAACATCGTTCTTCAATGCTTTAGCCAACAATCAACCTATCAATGCAGATCAAACTCATTTACCTTCGTTTCTTCGACTTCAACAACCAGTTACGATGCTTCGAGAAATCTGTTCGGCTATTCGTACTCTCGCAGTCTATCACCAAGATCTTCAGCCAAGAATGATCGATGCTCTTTTTCAACTATTGGACAGTGAAATCGATACAGACATTCAAGAAATCATTTTGAAAACATTAAGTTTAGATCGAACGAATTTTCCTGATAGATACAATGATCTAAAAGAATGTCTGCATCTATTGGATCATGCTTCAAATCTCGATGATCAATCATTGCTGATACAATTAAGACATCCGGTGAAAAGTAACAAGAAATTACCAGAAGCTTATTTAGTACGATTGTCACATATGCTCTACAGTTGTGATCCCAAACTGAAGGCAGAAGCCGCTGTGCTTCTCGCGTCGACTCTTCCGACATATTCAAGTCTTCCAAAGAAGGTACTTGATGCCATCTATTTAACTTTGTTGGATGATTCCATTAATATGCACACATTACCATTGCTGTTCGATTTAAAATCAACATGGACACCATCGGTGACTGATGCTCTTCTTCATCTTGTCTCTCACTCGAAACAAGCATCGATTCAACAGCAAGCTCAAAGATTACTGGTCACTCAGAAGAATAGCAACGTGAAAGTACGCGAATTTCTTGACAATCAAGACCTTTTACTATCAGAAAAGCAGCATGCACATGTTCAAACAATGATCCTCGCATCGGATACCAATGATGTCCATCGAGCATTGAAGATCATTCGTGCCATGATCATTCTCGATAAACATGTACCGCATAAACTTCTCTCTACTGTTGTTGCCCAATTGACCCAACATCCGGATGAAATTATCGATTTATTGATTCTTGCATTCAAGCATGGCATTCAGTTCGATGAAATACTCTTTCGGTCGATTAAAAATGATCTCTGCTTATGTCAAACTGAACATATGTTCGCCCTCATTCGAATCTTGACCGAAAAAGCTGTTCCTTTCCATGAAAAAACACTGGACCTTATTTTGTCTCAAGTGAATTCAAATGCAGCGAACGAATCACTAAATTGCTTAGAAAACATTGCCCGATATCAACATCTACCTGATCGTCTCATTTCGTATTTCGTCAAACAGCTCTTTGAAGATTCGGACGATGTCGTCAAAAAATCTTTCAGTATCCTTCGTCTTCAAATCTCACAAAGTTACATTAAATTTTCCCACGAGTTGTTTCAGTCTGTTCCATTACCATCGATCATCGATCGAGATCGGCTGACTAAAGAAACAACCGCTCAACAATATCTTGGCACGCTTCAAACGCTTTTATTTGTTGAATATCTTGAACCAACGACATTCGAACTTCCAGCTACTCAATGGTCTCGCCAATGTTTGTGCATTGATTTATTGACGAGCTGTTCCGATCAAACTCCTGATCGAATTCTGACATTTTATCATCATTTGACAAAGTTCGAATTGTTCAAACAGTACGAGATGTACGACGAGCAGCGTGATGATTTTCTGCGAGTATTAATTGAAAAACAACGCTCGTGTCATTTCAATTTAGACACCGTCAATCAAGTTCTTATCTTCTCAAGGACTTCAACGAATCAAACGATAAAAATTTTACAATCGGATGATGATGATTGGCTCTCCCAAATGCATTTAGATTTTATTCGAGAGATAATTAGTCAAGGATCGCTCCATGAGCATTACTCTCAAACAGCCCTGAATCAAATAGTTGAACGAATTTCCAAAGAATCGAATCTTTTGGCAGAATTGATTGAACCGTTTCTTCAACTTACACAAACGCTCGATGAGATTTTGACCATTCTTGATCTTGTGGCAACATATCAAATTAATGGTAAACATTTATTCGATATATTTGTTAAATCTAAAAATCTCGATGGATTCGAATCATTTCAAAAAGAGCTCGAAGTGATAATTATCAACAAAACATTATCAGTTTGTGCCAATGGATCTGACGAACAGTTGAACGTTGCTCGTCATAACTTACATATCTTGCTTGAGAATGGTTGGCGATTAAGCAAAATCACTGATTTATTGGATAGTCTCAAGCAACATCAAAAGAACATCAATAGTTTGCCTCAATTTCTGGAATCTTTACAGATTCTTGTAGATTATAAAATAAATGAAAACGTTCTGAATCTGTTAAGAGATATCTTATCTCATAAAGATATTCAGTCTTGGCCAGCAAGTGTTCACGGTCTCGCCATCGAACGCTGCTTTGGATCCATCAGTTCCGAGAAAAATATAACCACTCTATTAACTGAAATCAAAAATGACAATCCTGGTATTGATGTTGAACATTTCAAAAAACTGTTTACTGAAATCGATCAAGCCTATGAAAAAGATTCTTCCCGCTTTCCAGAGGCTCTACCAGTCAAAAACTGGAACATCATGCAAATTCAAAATTGGGCTGCTAAAGTTTATACGTTTCAATCGACTGCACTTAATCGCTGTCCTTTGTCAGAAATTCTTGCCGTAATCAAACGTGCTGTGCATCTTGATTCTCATTTTGAACCCCGACCAATTCAAGTTTTGGCTGTTCTTATTATGCTTGATCGCAATCAGCAAGGAGGACGTCTTTTACAAATATTAACAGGTGAAGGTAAATCCACCGTTGTTTCGATCCTGGCTGTGATCAAAGGTTTGCAAAATCAACATGTTGACATTATCACAAGTTCAATGACTTTAGCAAAACGCGATGCTCACGAACGAGAAAAATTCTATCAATATTTTAAACTAAGCGTGTCTCATAACAATGACGAGACCAACTACGTTTCCGGGCCAAAACCTTGTTATGCAGCCAATATCGTCTATGGTACTTCTAGTCAATTTCAATTCGATTTGCTTCGTCATGAATTTAGTCTACTCGATACACGTTCAATTCATAATAACATCGGTGTAGCTCGTCGTCACGACGTGATAATCATCGATGAAGTTGACAGCATGCTTATTGATGAAAACAATACCATTGCTCGTTTAGCTGACCAGTTGCCTGGAATGGAATGGCTTAGCTCATCACTCTATGGAGTTTGGCGAACAGTTGAAGCTGACGCGGACGTCTTCTCCCATCGAAATTCAATCATAAAGGATCTCAAAACACTTTTTCTCGATCCAAAATCACCATTACAATTTCCCAAGCATTTACGCCGATTTGTTATTGATTCTCTTCCCACATGGGTTGAGCATGCGATCCGTGCTAAAGTTGAATACCGTCTTGATCATCACTACATGATCAAAGACGACGGAACACGCACGAAACGAATTGTGCCTATCGATTTTTCCAATACAGGTGTCATTCAGGCGAGTACAACATGGAGCGATGGTCTCCATCAATTTCTTCAAATCAAACACGGCCTCAAAATGACGCCGTTGACTGTAACTACTAATTACCTCTCAAATGTCGGTCTCTTTACTCGTTATGGTACTCAAATTTACGGTTTAACAGGTACCATCGGTTCGAAAAACGCTCAAAATCTGCTGCAGAAGATTTACGATATCGATACGGTCATTATTCCACCTTTCAAAGAGAAACGCCATATGGCATTCGATTCCATATTGACTATGAGCGATGATCAATGGTTGAACACTATCGTTTCTAGTAGTGTAAGTCATGCACAAAACCGCCGAGCTGTTCTCATCATTTGCGAAACTCGATTGGACGCCAAAGCGATCAGCAAAGAGTTGCAACGTGCGGATCCAACTTGTCTCATTCGTCTTTATACAGACAATACTGATGCAGTCGAATCCAATGCTGTGAATGATAAAATTCAACATGGTGAGATCATTGTGGCCACGAATTTGGCAGGCCGAGGGACAGATCTGAAAACCAGTCCAGAAGTGGAAAAACATGGTGGCCTTCATGTTTGTTTGACATTTTTACCTAATAATTTACGTGTCGAAAAGCAAGCATTTGGACGCACATCTCGACAAGGCAATCGTGGCACATCACAAATGATTCTTTGTCACCATCGCACTTTACGTCAACTGGTGAACACTCATCCCAATCTATCTGATACAGACCTAACTGATTCTTCTGATCCATTAACGTTGTTCAGTTGCTGGCGAGAGCAAGCCGAACGTGCACATCTCGATCGTATTTGGACTGAAGAAATTAATGAAATCAAATTGAAAGATAATTTATTCAACAAGTTTTGTCAACTGCTCGCTCAATTACGAAGTGTAAACAATGATCCTTACCGATTGCTCAGTGTAAAGGAACGATGGGGTCTATGGCTGAAAGCAATGGATCATGCCACTCAGAATCGGAAAAAGCTCCAACAGGCCGTCGAGGCAGATGGGTATGAGTGCCATGAAGTGGCTCGCGGTGATGATAGTTTTTATCATGCTATATCACATCAACTAGCGGGAAAATTAGAGATACGTGATATCAAACAGAAAGTTATGAAACACATCGATGACAATAAGGATCTTTACACTGAAATGAATGATGAACAACAATATCACGCGACAAGCAGTGCGTTAAAGGTGTCGATCATTATTTACCGAAGTGATTATGGAGGTCCACACGTTTATAAACATGACAATGCCTCAGCTGAATGTTTTCTTGGATATGAAGCTGACTCTTACTATGTTTCTCTTCGAAAGACCGCCACAGAAAACAAAACATCCACCGCACAGTCCCGTAGTAGTGACGCAAAATCACGTAAGCAAAAGATATCGACCCACGCTAAACTGTTCAACGGTATGAAGTTTATGGCAAATAAAGTCAAAGATTTAGGTCAACATCTGATAAAACAATCTGAAATTCAAACGTTCAAATTGAACCTTGATGCTGAATTCGAAGTTTTCAAGAAACAGATCGAGAAAGATTTTCAAACAGATGATATCATTCAAAATCCTTGTTATCTACGTAAGTGAAGTTGGCAGCGGATTCGAGTCCTTCCATCAGCGATTCGCCCAGGAGTCCGTTCCAACCGTTCCAACTAGCGTTCCAGATGCAGCTCGACGAGCTCTATCTATGGGATATCTTGGAATCCTCATAGCTCCAGCTAAAACCTAGCAAAACCCAAAATACCGGTTTTCCAGTAGGAATTGCATGGATTTTCTCAATCATTCCACCAGCGATTCGCACAGCAGTGCGTTCCAACCGTTCCAACTAGCGTTCCAGATGCAGCTCGACGAGCTCTATCTATGGGATACCTTGGAATCGTGTTACTCGCAACTTTATAAGAGAGAAGTAAAAAATAATAAATTTCATGCCGTAGCTTCTGGTATCTTTTGTTAGATGTGCCTATATTCTGTGTATAAGTGCTGTGACTG